TTTCATACATACCCGGACAAACTTAAATAGTACACAGAAAACATAGATTTTAAACATTACACATTTGAAACATTAGATCTACGGCTTCAACGAGTAGATGATAAGGACAGTAGTTGCTATGAAACCTCCCCAGGATATTAAAAAAAACTGACGCAACATTTTCTCACGGTTACTGTAAACAGAGTCCAAGATATCGCGTTGCTCGTTTTCTTCTTCAGTAGGACGTTGAATCGGTGCGGTGGCTGCTTGTACCACCAATTGCCTCTGCAGGTCTGCGATTTCGTTGTAAAGGGATTTCTTGTCTTCCCTCAGTCGACGAATCTGATCTCTAGCCTCGAGAAGACTCATTTTTTGCCATCCGTGAGGCTCCTCCGCATCGGCCCAAGTGAAAAATCCGTGGAGATAACACTTGTAGAAGCGACGTCCAGGGTTTGCATCTGTCCACGACATAACCAACACTGTCCGTCGGGAGCAGTGGCACGGAGGACCATCGATTGGGTGAGATGAGACAGAACTCGAACTTTGGCTACCTGCCATGTTAATTAAGAGAGAGAAAACCTTTTCGGAATAAGGAAGAGAAAGATGCAGAGAAGTGACGAAGCTGTAGGGAAGAAAGGGTATTTAATAGCAAGTGGCGTTACACGTGTCCCATATAAATATGGCTATTTACGTATACATTTCCAAAAGTTTAATATCTGCACGTGCTCTAATTGATAGCTTCTATTAGTAACCAACTTTGGTTACGGTTATCTGGATATAAATATGAATATCAAGTTTTCTCCCGAAATATTTCTGGATTTGTAATGGACACGTGGCTAGCAATGGAACTGTCATCGTGTACATCCCTGAGAACAAAATTATTTTCTATGTTGCATGTGGCTCTAAACTTAGACTTATCAGATAATTACCACATTAAAGAATTAAAATTTGCTGATATGTTTGTCAGATATCTAATTATGTTCCCCTACGTATTTGTAGATAGGCTGCGCACATTAAATGCGAAGATAGCAACTAGATTCTTCTTCTTTACATACATGTGTATGTATTTTCAAGTTCCTTTCTTCTTCCCATTATAAATTGACGTTTCCGGTTATCTTTCCAACCACACCAACACAACTCTTCTCTCACCGGCTAAACTAAAAGTATAGCTTACTAAATATCAAGTGCGAAGTGTCCGCAACATACTTTCCGACTCTAAGGTTAGGTTTAGAAAAAATATTTCTGGTGCCACTTACTGATAGCATATTTACGATATTAACTTACAACTACTATTGGATGAACAGATGGGTCGTCTCGTACGAATCTTGAAAGGAGATTGGTCCAAAGATGACGTCGGCGTTTGGCGTTTCGTGCACGATCCTGGAGAAACTACTCTCGAAATCTGGTCAAGGGAGAACGAAACCATTGAGGATTTCACTGGACTTGTTAAGGAGGCGTACGGGATCCCACCACAAACTCCAGTTATGTTGACGTACAAACTCCCGCGGTGGATGCTTGTCAATGGTGGAGAAGCTTCACCACCACAAACCTTACTCTCTTCCGGCGATGTGGAAGCCATGATGAGTATAAGAGAATGGGACGGTTATCAGGTCGTGTGCGTTCTATGTGGTCCTGAAAGTGTTGCCAACTATGGTTTTCTCCGTCGTAGTCCGTTCGTAGTTGGGGATATGAGTTTCCTAACTGAAGGAGTAACTGAAGAACAACACATGGCAGCTATTAAAGGTATCGATTACATAGGCTAACTGTCTTTACTATTGTGGTTTATATTTACGTTACACTGATTCAAAGCTTTTTTCAGCTATATATCATCATGATGGGTTCGAGTGCAGTATGAGGGTTTTACTTAGTTTATTCACTGAGGAGCAGCAGGTTACTGTCCTCCGACTTTCTCTAGAGATTGCTAAAGCCAGAAACACCATTGACTTAAACGTCAACCCTTCTGCTGGTTTGGAATTTGGCGAGAGGACTTTAGCTGATGAAGATATGTGGATCGATGCATATATAAGGGAGGAGGATTACGCTGAATACAGAGTCCCAGATAATGAAGGTACATATAGTAACGCTAAGTGAATGCAATTAGACAGTATATCTTATAATGTTTGTTCTTCTTAAACCCGTTTTGTTCTATATCTGCATTAAAAATTTAAAATAATATAAAGAGAAAAACACTGCAAATAAATGAAGAATATAATGTTATATTAGTAACTGTAGTTGCAAATAGTAGGACTGTATATGATATTTTTCTTTCGAAAATTGTCAAGATTATAGCTATTTCAAGTTACATCGGTCCTGCAACGATGGAATTCACTTCACTTTATTTAACATTTCTGTCCAAATATTACAGGACTACCACAGCTACCAATATCGACATGCGTTGTTGCCCCAGACAATGAGTTTGTAAACCAACAACCCTCTCCCACTATACCGACGTTTCAACAAGATTTAGGAGAGCCTGGAGGTGGACCAGGTTTTTGGGATGTAATGTTATCTCAAGGAAGTGCTTCCCTCGGTGGAAACTGTCTGAATCATCTTCCATCAAATGAAGTTGTTGCCCCTGAACCTAGCAACAAATCAGTTACCTCACTTGGTGTGCAAGATTCTTCTACTGACTCATCTGGAAAAGCTGATTGGATTAGCCATGTCAACACCGTAAATTCTAATGAATTTCCTCTGTTTGTTACTCCTGGAAAGAATGTGAAATTTTCACAATATGAGAAAGGTATATATGAATTTCTCGTTCGTTTATGGGGTCTTGGTGTTCGCAACATCTTAGTCGTTGGATATTAAAGTTTGTAATAATCCTTAACACTCTTCTGCAGGTGAATCATCGAAGGTACTGGATATTGCAAGCAATGAAGGAGTACCTAATAACGAGAGCTTTCGTACTGACATCAATAACACTAACTCACCTCCACTCAACTTATGTCTAACAATAAGTGGTAGTGGTGGCCAAGAAGGATCCAATTCACCCATCGATGTTGAGGACTCTGCCTCTGATGTGGGTGTTGGCAATGGTGGGTCTTGAATCTAACTTAGCATCATCTCTTAAACCTATGTTTAATGTTTGAAATAGGCGGATGCTTGCAAGGTTTTCTCTCAATCTGATGGTAAAATGGATGCTTGCTACATATTTTGGTGTGTGTGAACGTTAACTGTTTTAAAAATAATGTTTAACGGCTAGACGGACGAATGTTTCTTCTTAACTAGATCGATGTAAAATATGGTTTTAATATCCGGATATGATGTATTGGTAAATTTTCTCTGTATTATAACCAGTTATAAATGTTATATTATGTTCGATATTTATGTTCACAGTACTTATGTTATAACTTGTCTGTCACTAACATTCACAACACAAAAAAGAACAAACTTATATAACTCTGCACTTTAAAACTTGTAGGCAAAAGCCCTCACAATCCAGACGAGGTATATGTTGGAAT